ATTGTCTCACCTACTTTGATCATGTGAGAAAGAACCATTCCATGGAGAAGGGTAATATCTTTGGTAATGTAGAGGGTCAGTGAGGAAGGGGAAGGCCTTCAATGAGATGTACTGACACACTGGCTACAATGATGGGTTCAGGTATAGCATAGATTGTGAGGCTAGCATTGGACCAGGAGTGTTTCATTCTGTTGTACATATGGTGGCTATGAATTGGAGTCGACTCGAAGGCACTAACAACAATAACAACTATGTCTAGCACAAGTCCAAGCAGTTTACAGAGAAACTCATTTCATTCTCCCAACAATCTTATGAGGTTTGTTGTTGTTGTTATGTGCTGTCGAGTCGGCCCCGACTCATAGCGACCCCTCCTTGGGTTTCCGAGGCAGTATCACTACAGAAGTAGTTGCCCCATCTTCCTTCCAAGGAGTGGCTGGCTCACTCCATTGTACAGATGATGAAACTAAGGCACAAGAGTAAACACTTTTCCCAAGCTCCACAGCAACAACAACATTAAAATTACTGTACTAAGAGACTGAGTTGGGATTCTACCCTAAGCAGTCTGGTTTCCCAGTCCACCTCTCAAACATGATGATATGCAACTTCTGTCCAATTGCTTGGCTAAAATCTCAAAGGCTTCTCAAACTCAACACATCCAAAGTTTAATCCTCATCTTCTGTTCCTCCTACATTCTAACCACACAACTCATCCATGCTAAAAACCTACAAGTCATTCCTCCTTCTCCCTCATTACATACTCTTCACCACTAAAGCCATCATGAAACATATTAATTTTGTTTTCTTTATGGTAAGTGGATCTGACCTGCTACTTTTCACCCTTCTACCATTGCCCCAGGAGCTCTGGTAGCATAGTGCCTAAGGCACTTGACTGCTAACCAGAAGGCTGGCTGTTCAAACTCACCAGCCACTACTCGGAAGGAAGGCTGGGCAATCTACTTCCGTAGTGATACCGCCTCTGAAACCCAAGGAGGGGTCACTATGAGTCCGGTCAACTCGACTTGCACATAACAACAACAACACCATCGCCCTACTCCAGGCCCTTATCTTTGACCTAAATTACTTAAACTGAATTTAAGCTCACCTTCTCGCCTCCAATCTTGCCACCTTGAATCTACCTTCCACGCCGCAGTCAAAAAAATAATAATTAACAGATATTGTTGAGTCAATTACAACTCATGGTGACCCCATGTGTGTCCAAGCAGAACTGTGCTTCACAGGGTTTAAACAGCTGATTCTTAGGAAGCAGATCGCCAGGCTTTTCTTCCGAGGTGCTTCTAACCTTTAGGTCAACAACTGCACTTAATCTTTCGCATTTCCAAGAATTCATCCAGTAAAAATAATGCCTCTTAAATCCTAAGTGAAAATTCCCGAATAATACACCTTTCCACAAAATCACCTCGAAAAACAGGAAACCATGAATTCGTGCCTTAAAAGCTCCTTTAGTAAGTTTGGTTAACTGCAAACAAAATTTTCGGCTCATTGACTTGACCAAGAACAAGCTGCCAATGCAGCCACCACGCTGACTTCGGCACGAAGCAGAGCTTTTGAGGACCTCTTAAGCCTAAAAATTCCGCCCTTCTCACTTCCCCCATACTCACTCGATGATGCGGTCCAGGGAATTTTTCTGACAAAAGCAATGGATCGTCCAATGTTGGTACGCAGGGCTACAGTAGCCCTCACTGCCGAAGCCGCCATCTTTAGACTGAAAGACCTTCGTGACCTGGGGTCGCAACCCCGGAAGAAGTTGCCTCGTCCAGAGTATGGGAATCTGCTTCCAGGTTAGCAGACTCCAGGCAGCGACATGGGGAAGATGGCGGCGGCCGTGGGTTCTGTGGCGACGTTGGCAGCGGATCCGGGAGAGGACGCCTTTAGGAAACTTTTCCGCTTCTACCGACAAAGCCGTCCCGGGACAGCGGACCTGGGAGGGGTCATCGACTTCTCGTCGGCCCCCATAGCCCGGGGGTCAGGTGCTCACAAGGTACGAAGTGAGGAGCGGCGCGCACCTCGCCTTGCCTCTCGGAGAGGCTTCAAAGTACTCGTATCTTTTCGCCTCCAGACCGATTGTTGAGCTGTCCCCGCTCTCCTGGTTCGCGGAGTTTAACTGCCCAGGAAGCATTACACTTGGGCGATGAAGGGCTGTGCTGCGCTTTTCTCCACTTGGGCATTACTGTTGACGGTCAAAAAATGGGAATTAGTGTTAATTCTTTAATGGGAATTAGATGTTCACTTAGAGTTCTTCCATTTGTACAAAACCCCGTAGAACATCTTCGCAGACTTTGGACGAGTAGTCCACATCTTTTAAAAACCACGCGAGTAATCTTAGAACTCGGTTCCTATGTTGTCAGTTAAGCAGTTGCCCATAAAACTGGTCCCATCTTCTCTGGACTTTTCAGAAAGAAGATCTTGGAGCAATCTAAGATAATAGCTCCAAGTTGAAAGTAAACTATAAGCACTCGAGTGTATTTGGGATTGGGATCCGAGCCCGTTCCCGTGGAAATTGAAGAAATGGAACATAATACTGGGAAGGCGGGGAGTACATAAAACCACATCTGTAGCACTATGGATGTTTTCTTTACAGTCGCTTTAACACAGAATACAACACTGTTTGCCAATGGTGGTGTCCAAAGATGAGGCCTTCTTTCCAAGTTTTCCAAGCTCAATAAAATTGGAATACTATCCAGCACCAACTGTATTTATCTAGACCTCAACTTCTCAGAAACTTCATTGCTAGTAAAAGTGATTTCAGAGTTGTAAAAATAACAAAAAAGTCTGTACTCCAAAGGTAATATGCTTGACACATGGAGAGCCCCTCAGGCCTCCATTCAGCTCCTGTTACCCAAATATGACTATAATACTAACAAATTTTTATAATGTAAAATGCCTGAAAACAGGACCTTGCATGTCTACCATGGTACCTAAAACATAGTAAAACCAAAGTAAATAAATAGCACACTTGCTGTAGAGTTCATTCCAACACATGGTGACCCCTTATGTTACAGAGTAGAACTGCTTCACAGGGTTTTCTTGGTTGTAATCTTTTAGGGATGATTGCCAGGACTTCTGCTAACTGTAAGGCGGTGGTGCAGTGCCTAAGACATTTGACTGCTAACCAGAAGGTTGGCGGTTCAAGCCCACCAGCTGCTCCACCGAAGGAAGATGAGACCGTTTACCGCCTTGGAAACCCAGTGGGAGTCACTATGAGTTGGAATCAATTTAGTGGCAGTGGTTTTGGTTTTCTGCCACTGGGTACGTTGAACCAGCACCTTTAGGTTAACAGCCCAGTGCAAACCAAAAACATGGTAAACACTGAGTAAATTTAGTATGTGTTGAGTTACATGAGAATATCAGTGTTTAGTTCCTCAGCTCAAAGCAGATTAAAAGTAGCAAATTACAAAGGAATAAAGTCGCTATTCCAAGATACCTGATAGGCATAATGGACGTTAGCTCTGAGGGCATTGCTGAATTGGGTGGTACGGTGGTTTTCTGATTGACTACTAACTGAAAAGTTGGCAGTTCAAATCCACACATAGATCTACTTCCCTAAGATTAGGGAGGAAAAAAAACATTGCCATGGAGTTCATCCCACTTCCTGGAGACCACACATGTTTCAGAGTAGAACGACACTCCATGGGGTTTTCCTGACTGACCTTTCAGAAGCAAACCACCAGGCCTTTCTCCTGAGGCACCTCTGGATGCGTTGAGCTGCCAACCTTTCTGTGAGCAGCCAAGTGCTTAAAGGGATTCCTTTCTTAAGATCACAGGCATTGAAAGACCTATAGAGCACAGTTTGGGAGACTTGTAAAGTCACCATGTGCCAGAATCTCCTGGACAGCAAAAGGTTTGTTTGTATTTTTAATACATCAGTCACTTGGTATTTTGTCTGGAAATTCCCACACTGGGAGAGGTTGATAGGAAAAAAGATAATATGTTTTTGGAAGAGAACATTTGGTGTGTTCTAAGAAAAGCCAGACTGTAAATTTATTATTCATGAAGAAGAATGTTTGTTTGCTTCTTAATGTCTTTATTTTGATGACTATATTGAATCTCTTAACCAATTTAAGGACCCATCCATAAGATAGTCATATGTGTAGAGAAAACGTCATCAGCCCCCCTAAAATACTTCATTTTTAAGTAATGAATGAATTTCTAAGGAAGAATAAATCAAAAGCGAAAGTTCAAGCTTCAGTGTGAAGTTTGGTCTGAAAGAGCAAAGATTGTACCTTTAGCAAAACAGGATTCCTAGCTTTTTATTGGAACATGTTTTCTGTCTTATGGTAGCACTCTGTTTTCATTCTCTTCCCTTTTCTCAGCCTGTTGTTACTCACAGCTCTGTGGTCTAAACATTTGACATATATATTATAAGTGCCTCAAAAGCAGTATTGCTAACCCTAGCCAAAATGAACAGCACTTTGGCTTAGGGTATTCCAGTAGACCAAAACAGCTGTGATGATTCAGAGTCCTATAAGAAATCAAAGGTATGGTATCAGGAAAAGGTACTCTTGAAGGCCCAAATCAGCCTACTTAATAATAGAGCAAAAGTTTTCTCTTTATAAACCAAAAACCAGATTTACTGCCATCAACTCAATCCGACTCATAGAGACCCCTCTTGGGTTGCCGAGGCAGTATCTCTACAGAGGTAAATTGCCTGATCTTCCTTCTGAGGAGTAGCTCGTAGGTTTGAGCTGCCAGCCTTCTTGTTAGCAGTCAGGTGCCTAAGCACTATGCCACCAGAGCTACTTATCTTAATTTTAGCTTAAATGCAGCTCCCTGGTTTTTGTTAATATATAGTGGAAGAAACTGCGGTTCTGGGAGGTTAAGTGACACGTTTAAGGGCCTAAATCTGGAAAATGGTAGAGCTAAGACTATGTAGGACCCTGGACTTCTGACTACTAGCTTTGCCCTATACCAGAAATGTCTTTGAAGGTTAGTAGTTCCCAGAGTTGATCTGTAAAATAGCTTTAGCCCTCTGATTTCTGTTTCCTTCCTGCCAGGTGGTCAGGTCTCAGCTAAATGTGTCCTCAGTCAATGAGCATGATGCACATAGAGCAGGACTTCAGCCGGTCAGCAAGTGGCGAGCCTATGGACTTGAAGGCTATCCTGGTGAGTGCAGCAGACCTCAGAGGTGAAATCGTGCAGGAATCATTTGTCTAATTTCAGGAGCTGTGAACAAGCACACAGACAAAGAAGAAAACTGAATACTCACAAATGTTCCACTCCCAAACCTGTCCTAAATTCTGTCTTGTCCAAGGTTTCCACTTATGGAGCATTGGGTTGTCTTTCCCAAAGGATAAAACAGGAGTCAGCAATATCTACCTTATATGGCAGTAAATGGCATGCCAGGTACAAATCAAGAATCAGGACTTTTCCTCTGGGCTCCCTGCCACAGCTCTGAACACCTACTCTGGCAGAAGAACCACTTTAAAGGGTAGAGTAATTCATAATTGCCACTCCACGCACAAAACCTCTACGTTCCCAAATGGCATAACAACTTGAAAATTGCTGTTAGCATCAAAGCTGAGCATTTGAAAAGAGAATTACAGTTAATGAGATCAAAAGTCATGATAGAGTAAATAAATAGTCTAGAATTCTGTATTTTAGTGATACTTGGTAGCTCACTTTACAGTTAGAGAAATCAAGATAATAATGAAGAGTATAATGTTATTAAACTTCTTTCTAGCATCATTGGGATATTATAGATTAATTATTATGATCTGTTTAGAAGGTAAGCCTTAGTTGGCCAAGTAATGTTAGACAATCTATCCTCCTTTGTTTCTTTCTAGGAGACATAAAGTTAATATTGCATCTCTGATTTCAAATATGGGTCAAAAGCAAGAAAAATCTCAAAAAAGATTGTTGTTCTGATTTGAATGTTTGGTAAAGGGCCAGTCTACTATGTTGTAGTTCTTACTTCATGACAATCACTTAAATAAATTATTAATAATATGGGAAGGTGTAACAGCTTTAGGAAGAAGCTTTGGTGGCATAGTGGTTAAGCATTCGGCTACTAAACAAAAGGTTAGCCGTTCAAACCCACCAGCCAGTCTGTGGGAGAAAGATGAGGCAGTCTGCTTCCATAAAGACTTCAACCTTGGAAACCTTGTGACAGTTCTGCTCTGCCCTACAGGGTTACTATAAGTCAGAATCGACTTAGTGGCAATGGGCTTTTTGGAAAGTTTTAATACTTCTTATAAAGGACAATCTGTACTTTAGTTCTGCACTGTGAATTCACAAAGGAAACAGATGAATAATGCCTTTCTGTTTGAAAGCATTGCTCTCCATGAGTTTCCATAGAAGAATGTATCACCAGCAGTCTTACACAGTTTTTGTTTTTGAAGACTATCCTTTAACTTTCAGCTCTAGCTTCTGTTTTCAGAGCTGAGTTTCTCTGTTAATCTGCTTTTATGCCTTAAAAGATTGTTCAGACTGCATATACCAGAGTTAACAACTGCACTTTGGTTTTGCAGTGTCCAAATTGGTGTGCTTGCTTTTTAAGGTTTTCTAGGATTTGAGCCTTAAACCACATCGTTTGCATTGAACTTCTTTAGGTCCTTAGAGAAATTCTTCTATCTTCCCTGTCATTGTTAGCTGCATTTGATAGAAGAATGTCCAAAACATGGGAGATGACAGTCTCCTTCACTCTGATTTGATCAGGAGGATTCGTCTACTTCTATATCCTACTTATTCTGCAGGAACCTGAATGTACGTACTGTAGCCTCTCTTTAAGAGAGTGAACAAGAAGATAGTGGATCTGGAAATCAGAAACTTAATCTGGGGAAGAAAAGACTTAAGGAACATGATAGCATCAAATATTTGAAAAGTTATTATATGCAGTAGAGGAATGAAAGCAATACAGACTAGTAGTGAAAGCATAGATTCTTACCAAGTGGCCCAGGCTTATATCCTGGCTATACCTACTAACTATACGATCTTGCGCAGGTTTCTTAATCTCTATTTGTCACCATTTCCTCATGTTTTAAATATGCATAAAAATAGAACCCATCTATTAAGGTTATTATAAGGATTAAATGTGTCTGTTGTTGTTATGTGCCATCAAGTCAGACCCAAATTATAGCAACCCCTCCTTGTGTTTCCTAGGTGGTATCATTACGGAAGTAGATTGCTCAACCTTCCTTCCAAGGAGTGACTGGTGGGTTTGAACCACCAGCCTTCTAGTTAGCAGTCAAGTGTTTTAGGAACTACGCCACCAGAGCTCTTTAAATGTGACTATATGTGTGTAAGAGGTGTGCTGGTAATGCAGTGGTTAAAGCATTCAGCTGCTAACCAAAAGGTTGGCCATTCAAACCTACCAGCTGTTCTCTGAGAGAAAGATGAGGCAGCCTACTTCCATAAATATTTACAGCCTTGAAAACCCTGTGGGGCAGTTCTGTTCTGTCCCTATAGGAACACTAGGAGTCGAGTCAACTGGATGGAAGTTGTTTGGTTTTATACATGTATCAAAATGGTGGTGTGTGACTTCCTCTAACTTCACCAAGGGGGGAGTCACCATCAGTACCATCAGGCCAGGCTGATTCCTTGAAGTGGAAGTCAGACATATCTCCTCTTGCCAACCTTTTTACCAATTCTGACACCAGCCGCCCCTCCTGCTGCATTCTCTACTTCTCTGCTGAGTTGGAACTCATTGCAGTGGCCTTGTGGACCATTCTCACAATTATGGGTTTTTTTGGGGAAGTAATAGGAGGTAACATATGATTAAGAACCAACAGTATTGAAGGAAGAAGTCCAAACTTTACTGAAGGAATTGGCAAAGGACAAGGCTCCAGGAGTTGACAAAATACCCACTGAGATGTTTCAACAAATGGATCAGCACTGGAGGCACTTACTCATCTATGCCAAGAAATTTGGAAGACAGCCACCTGGCCAACTGAGATGTTTGTGCCCATTCCAAAGAAAGCTGATCCAACAGAATGTGGAAATTATCAAACAATATCATTAATACTACATGCAAGTAAAATCTTATTGAAGATAATTCAGAAGCAGTTGCAGCAATATATTGATAGCAAACTTCCAGAAGTACAAGCTGGATTCCAAAGAGGATGTGGGATGAGCGATGTCATTGCTGATGTCAGATGGATATTGGCTGAAAGAAAGGAATACCAGAAAGATGTCTGCCTGTGTATGCAAAGGCATTCAACTGTGTGGGTCATAACAAATTATGGATAACATTGCAAAGAACAGGAATTCCAGAACACTTAATTGTTCTCATGAGGAACCTATACATAGACCAAGAGGCTGTCATTGAGACAGAACAAGGGGATGCTGCATAGTTTAAAATCGGGAAGGGTGTGCACCAGAATTGTATTCTTTCACCATATTCATTCAATCTGTATGCTGAGCAAATAATCCAAGAACTTGGACTATATGAAGAAGAACACATCATCAGGATTGTAGGAAGAACCTCTAATAACTTGAAATATTCAGATGACACAACCTTGCTTGCTGAAAGTGAAGATGACTTGAAGCACTTATTGATGAGGATCAAAGACTACAGTGCCCAGTATGGCTTATACCTCAATATAAAGAAAACAAAAATTCTCACAAATGGAGCAATAAGCAACATCATGATAAATGGAGAAAAGATTGAGGTTGTCAGGGATTTTATTTTACTTGGATCCATAGTCAACACCCATGGAAGCAGCAGTCAGAAAATCAGACATCATATTGCACTGGGCAAATCTGCTACCAAAGATCTCTTTAAAGTGTTGAAGAACAAAGATGTCACTTTGAAGACTAATGTGTGCCTAACTCAAGCCATGGTATGTTCAGTCACCTCATATGCACATGAAAGCTAGGCAGTGAATCAGGAAGGTCAGAGAAGACTTGATGCCTTTGAATTATGGTGTTGGTGAAGAATACTGAAAATACCATGCTACCATGGACTGCTAGAAGAACGAACAAATCAGTCTTAGAAGAAGTACAGCCAGAATGTTCCTTAGAAGTAAGAACAGCCAGACTCCATCTCATGTACTTTGGTCATGTTGTCAGAGGGACCAGTCCCTAGAGAAGGATAGCATGCTTGGTAAAGTAGAGGGTCAGCAGAGATGGGGAAGACCCTCAATGAGATGGTTGATGCAGTGGCTACAGTGATGGGCTCAAGTACAGCAAGGATTGTGAGGATAGCATACAACTGGGCAGTATTTTGTTTTGTTGCACATGTAATGACTATGAGTTGGAGCCCACTCAAGGGCACCTAACAAGAACAATAACTTACAACTCAGGATCAGCTTGGAAGTAACAGGAACAAATCAGAATATGGTTGTTAATTAGGACAGCTGCTTCTCTCCCTCTTTGCCCTGCTTGGGGCCTTCTTGGGCTGAGTTCTAGAACTGTTAACTCTGTGGATGAGCTAGCCTAGCTCCACCAAGTGCCTGGAGACACCCCACTCCATCAGCAAGCCTCTTGCCCTAATGTGCTCTACTTTGTCATTCTGTGGGCTAGGAAGGCCACCGTACCATCTCCTGCTGGTCTCCAGGTTCTGCTCCTGTCATTTCTTTTCTGCTGCTTCTCACCATCATCTCTCACTATCTTCATTGTTATAGGTCTTTCTCCCTTCCTTCCTCCTTCCCTCCTTCCCTCCTCCCTTCCCCCCCCCCTTGGGTCTAGGAAGTTCCCAGTACAGGACCCCATGTCCAAAGGAGGTATTCCACTCCCATCTCTTCTTGGTGGTAATCTTCTCTATATTGGCTCATTTTAATCCTAGTGAGATTGGAGAACTGACCAGTCCCCTCAGTAGGGTTCCATCTACCTTATTTGCATGGTTCCACCCCTTCAGAGGTGTCATGCACCTTATTTATATTACTAGCAAGCTATCTAATCCCTTTGGTGGGTCACAAGCACCTCATTTGCATAGTCCCACCTACTCATTTAGTGGGCGTTACAAAGACTATGGCTAAACCCATTGCCATCAAGTTAATTCCCACTCATAGTGACCTTGTTGGACCTATAGGATTTCTAAGGTTATAATCTTTACAGAAGCAGACTGCCACATCTTTCTCCCACAAAGCACAGTTGGGTTCAAACTGCAGACCTTTGAGTTAGCAGCTGAGCACTTAACCTCTGTATCACCACAGCTCAGGCTATGG